AATATGCCTTCGACTATAAGCGTGTATAGTAAGGGAGAGTAGAGAAGCAAATGTGTAAACAGTCAATAAACTATGAACCTATATCAATGTAAAAGCCTGCTGGTGACTAATTGAACGCTTGTGTTGGTTGAGTTTGGCTATAGCGTCTGAAAAGTTGCCTTTATTGGCTGATTAATTAAATTAACCGAGCAAATTGAATGTTAGCAGCAGATCCCTTACACATTTCTTCTCATAATGTTAACTTAACGAGCAGTTCCTTTTGTGTTGTAGAAGAAATAAAGAAAAAGTCTGGTTTTGACTATTTAAAAACGCAATAAATAATAAATAACACTGAGATTTTAAAAAGTATAAGACAACCGAACAGTAAATAATTATTTTATATTTAAGTAAAATTTAAGGAAACAGAAGGCAAAACTGAGGATTGTGCTTCGGCATCAATTAATAAATTTAGAGAGTGCAGTTTTGCCCTTACCTTGAAGATTTATTCCAAGACTTGCGGAGCGCTTTATTATGCGTACGTCAAAAACTCCGCAGTTGGGAATAACGTTGTCTGCCACCGTGTACTGAGTCACAATTGCTAGACGACCAGGACAGCGCTGATCGTCGCAGAGGCTGTAGCGAGCGTTCAATTTGTCGATTGATTTGCCCAGTGGCGAATCACCCTGAATCGACATTAGCAGATCGCCCGGTTGGATGACTCCAGACCTGTCAAATTACATATTTTTAAAGATCTTACAATAGTGAAGAAAGGCAATTTTTATTGGACAATGGTTGTGATATACACTAGTGTCTCTTTGAGTGCAAATTAAAGGCTGTTCCTACAACAAAAGGGTCATACATGTTCACAGTGGTTACAGTATGACAAAGTTTCTTTAAAATATCGACATCATTTATTTTGTTAACCATTTCGTTTAGTAAGCATTATGCGGACAACCTCATCTTGCAGGATGCGAGGTTGCATTTCCACCTGCGAAATTTCATTTTAATCTAAACTAGGATATGCACGTTAATTGTAATATATTTTTATGGAACGTGCTTCCTCGGATACCGTCTTAACTATTCCAAAGTTTTTTTGGTAGCGGCACATCAATTATGCACCCGTATCCTAGACGGTTTAATGAAGCCACGATTTTCCAGTTCACAGGAGCTGTCCTGTCACACGAAATGCTCGCCGAAATTCAGAACCTTTTTAAATCAGCAAGGTTTACTTTAAGGAGGTTTTAATGCTAATTATAAGCCAGGATTATAGCTTTTGAATGAACCTTTTATGGCCTCCATTAAAAGCTAGTTAAGTGATATTAATTGTTCTTTATATTAATTTTCGATCCTTTATAAAGTTAAACATGTTTTATAGGAATAATAATAATATTCGTATTTGCACATATTTGGTAGCAAAGTACGTTTTATAATTTAATTTTGAGGGAGAGATATATTACTGTTCCGATCAAGCTGGTGACTATAAAATTATTCAAGACCACTTAATGTTTATTCAGAGACTCGTACCTCAGAAAAAGAAGATACAAACAAAGAATTTAGTAGCCTGAGGTTTCGGATTCGCAGTCGAACCCATCATCAGATCCATATATTTCTGTTTATTAATATCGCTTTTGACGTATGGTATGCGATACGCAGTCACTGCAAGGTTGAGCCTTATATGACGTTTTACTAATGAAGATAAATGTACGCATTTTCTTACTCGAGAATTGTACCACGCATGGTTTGTTAAGACGGCAGCTTCAATATTATATTGTGATTAAAAGAAAAGATTATAAACTGAGAAGATGTAATTTCATGAAGGAGAAAGTTGGAAAGAGAGGTAGTTTGCTGCCAAATTAATTCAAGAAACAATATCCTATTCTTTTTTACAAAACGCATATGGATTTAGCCAAACAGCAAACGTCACTGTGCACGATTCCTACTGCTTAAGTATTCACTTTTCACCAACTATATTTTTCTTAGCCCACCAACAAGCAGCTTCAAAAAAACGGACACCCCATCGTGATTGTTAGATCTGACGATTGTACTGCACGCTAACCAATATTAAAACCCAACCTTAAACGCCCTTTTTAATGAGGGGTGCATTTTGGATTTTTAATTAACATTTCTTGAGACAGGCCAGTTGCTGTTCTTCTAATTCGAGGAACGCCCTTTGTTGAGAGAGTTGCGCACTAGCGATTCTTACGTTCGAATATCTACTGTCGAGTGCTTGGGTGAATCACTGTGAGAAGCCGAGACAATGGTAATGACCTTGGGTACGTGAAAATTTATGCCATTTCCGTGGGTGGCCATCACAGGGTGCGAACGTATCAACGTGCAAAGGTTGGCTCAATCAGTGAGTCACATTCTCGGGATAATTAGACCATCGCTTAATGTGGGTAGCTGGGGGGGAGG